AATAAGACATTAAGATCAACCAAATAAACCAAAAAGATATGTTTAAGCAGCTAATAAAACTGTTTATTTAAAATCAGGAATAAAGAATAACACTTCAGCTCTGGCAGCAGCTCTCACACTGAAATTTTCATTTTCAATCAGTAAAAGAAATTCACTATTTTTGTTTTCTAGAAGCTTAGCATCCTTTTTAAGCTTATAATTTCTCACCATATTCATATTAGGTTAATTTATCAACTTAAAAATTATTCTAACAATGTACACACATAAAAATAAGATAGAAGAAAGGTAAGACAAGCTAGAAATGGTGCATATCAGAACACATTTGTCTTGTATACAGTTAAAAACAAATTTTGTGATTACAGTTAAAATATATTTTATAGTTGTTCCACTTAATAAATATGAACTGTTATTTAAGAAAAGACAATTAGCTATTTATTAGCTATTTTATATACTATTTATAAGAAGAAATGACAATGATCAGGAATTACCCCAGTGATCAATAATTACCCCATCTGTAGGGGGCAACATTTGATATAGTTTCCTATAATCAATTGTAATGTTTACAGTAGATGTGAAATAATTAAGCAAAAGCCTACACTATTTTTATATCAAAGAAAAAGAAAGTAACTCAAAATATTTATTATTAAGAGAAGGAGGGGGATCTTTGCAGAAATGTGCACATTTTGAAACCCATCTTTGAAATGGAAAATACAGAAAGCAATTTAAAAGATACTTATTTTGTTAGATTAAATAAAAAACTATTTTTAAGTAAATGTAGTTATACTTTAGTAAAGTGAACAAGTATTCTTGTCCAAGTCTCAAATTTAAAAAAAAAATATTTTTTAAAATAAAACTTAGGTGATTATTACTTACCCCAGAAACAGAGTGATCGTGAATTACCCCGGGTCACCCTAATATTTCTCCAAAAAGTTTTCGAAATTTAAACCAAATTTGAAGTTATATTTGGAGTTGGAAAACCAACAACATTTAAAAGTAAATTTCCTAACAAGAAAAAACTCAATTCATTATGAATATTACATTAAATTTCTCCAAAATGTTAAAATATATATATATATAAGTAAAGAAAGATTAAAATTAATGACTGCTGCCTTGTCTTCCTGGAGAATAAATAAGACTAAAGTAAATAAGGCCAAACTAATTTGACATTTTACTGGTATTAAATTTAGGCAATATAGTTCGAATAAACAACTATTCTTCAAATACATAGGATTGGTAGGAATACATAGGCTTTTACATAGGATTTGTCATGCCATGTCACAATACAAATGCTATGAATATAACAATATTTTTTCTTTGAACAGTTCAAGTTATGTTTCTAAGCATTAAATTTTTTTCAGCTAAAATAATTTAAAAGCATTTTAGTTCATTAAATAACCACACAATATAAATAAGCATAGAAATGTTTTTCGTTTTTTTCTTCTTTTCTTTGAAAAATAGGAAATATGTAAAATAAAAAGTAATATCGTTTCAAAAATATCTGATTAACATTTTTGCTTACTACCTAAATCTTAGGATTGTTAAAAGTAAAAATTACTTGAATTCGTTTGACATCTTCTATTTGTTCTATTTCTAGCAAATTACAACATAAATTACCAGCTATACATTTGCATCATAATTTCCTGTCAAATTTCAAAATGTGATAAAAAGAGTTATGTTTTCTATTACTATGTTCCGCCACAACTAAGTACAAAGTTTCCCAAATGCAATTTTTTTTTAAATTAGATTTTTGAGTCATGTGTAGGATCTTCACAAAATGCATGTTTCTTAACCATATATTTTGTCATTCTTCTTTCAATACCTTTTCCAAAAAATGCGACTGAATTTTTATCACTTTAAAAGAAGGAAGACTTCAGACTTCCTCAAAAGGGCAGCAACGATTTTTTTAAAAGAAAATAAGTCAAAATATTTAGTTTTTTTATCAATTGCATTTGCACTCAATATCATTAATAAAATTATTTTGAAATTTTATTGCATTACTTTTCCCCCACACCAAAGATAGAAAGAAGAACAAATACCATATTCTTATTTTATTCTAAAACTTATTGCACACAAAAAAATAGAGTATAACAAAACTTTGTGATGCAGCTTCAATATATCCAAATAGAAGTTAACATTACAGTAACATAATTTTGGGGAAACATTGTTTATTAAATGCACATTATGTATGCAACATCTATTTATTTTTAAATTCCTTTAGGTGTTCTTTTGAAATTCCTTTTAAAAAAATATTTAAAAAGGAAAATACACAAATATGAAATATATTTAAAAGTAAACTTTAGAAAAATGTAAGCATTATTTCTAATTAAAAAAAAATTATATCTTTTTTAATTTACTGATTTACGCAAACATTTAAAAGAAGAAAATTTTGTAACAGAATAGTTAATATTATAAGTTATTGTTATAATTGTTACTTAAGTTTCAGTGTCATATTTTAAAGTTAATTATTAATTTGAATTTTTTTTCTTTTCAGTCTAAGGAGACATGCCTATGTGAATAGATGTTGTTTTGATGATTTAATCATTATTTATTATTATATATTATGAATTGCACTGTGCGCCCCTAAATTTCTTGTACATAATAAAACCCTTTCGGCCAATTGATTTTGTCATTATTAGAATTTGGAGAGATTTTTCTTTTTTCTACATTTTAAATAGTTTAACAATTTGAAAGAAATAATATATATTTCATTACTTTCACTGCCCTTAATACATATTTTTTGAATCCTTGTCAAAAATGAACACATTTATTTCGATAGGGATCTTTAAATAACATTTAAGTGAGAGAGAAATAAAAGCACAATCAAATTTGTAAAATCTGTAGTAAGTAATTAAAAAAAAAAGAAAAAAAAAAGATAAAAAACTTTAAAACCTGTTTTATTGCTTGATAATTCTTGCTGGAGTATTGCTTGATAATTCAGGCAATTCTAATAATGTTATTTTCTGTTTCTTCCAGCATTTAAATAGGTTTTTATGTTTTCAGTCTAGTTTTCTGCAGTAATAATCTAACAGGTTTTAACAACATGCTTTTTTCCTCTCTAAAATATTAATTCGCGATCCTTAACCAGTGTTTTCACTACAGCGCGAGAACGCAAGAATCTCGCATATTTTGTTCTTTTCTCCCATTAAAAAATTATTAACGCGAGAAATTCGCGCATTCTATAAACCAATTTCAAAATTCGCGAATTTCTCGCATTTTGAAAAAAATTTCTCATTGCGCCAATTAGAATGAAATCCGTTTCACTTTTCTTCCTGGATCTTTCATTATTTTCAACATCTGCCCCATTATCTAGCTTCCCTGTTTACCAGTATTGTTCAGAATCTTTAAGAACTACAGAACACCATCCCTCCGAACCTCTTTCAGAACGCATTTCTCTGCAACCACGTGTTTACTGTAGGTAAGGTTTCTTCATGTAAGACGTTCAAATTTTTTGCGCATTAATGCAAGATGGACAAATACCTTGTAAAGGCAATATCTTCTACTCCGAAACGGACAAATGAAAATGAAACAAATGTGGGTAGAAACGATCAAAACGAAACAAATACGCATTTGAGTTACCTAATTAGAATAGCTGATGAAAAAGTAGATATAGAACATTTTCCATATGATGATGCAGCAAAAATATTCAATGCTTTAAAAATTAGAAGATATTAAAAATGTATTATAATTAAAGAAATGATTTTTTTCATGTCTCTTTACATTTTTGTTTTTTAATTTTTAGAAATCTCACTTAACTTTTTGAAATCTCACCCTGTTTTTGAGAAAGGGTGAGAAATTCTCACCCATTTTTTCTCTGCGATGAAAACACTGTTAACGGATGTTTAATTCTTACTTCATTTTTGACAAAGGTTAAAAAAAATTTATATTAAGGACAGCGATACTGAATATCCATTTTTGGACTCTCTGTAAACAGAAGAAGTTGAAAATAATGATCAAAATATTTAGTATTTTTATCAATGGCATTTAAACTCAGTATCATTGATAAAATTATTTTGAAATGTTATTGTATTATTTTTCCCCAGGTCAAAGCTAGAAAGAAGAACAAATAACATAGTTTTATTTTTTCCTATTAATTATGAACTTAAAAAATAGAGTGTAACAAAACTTTGTGATGCAGCTTCTTATTCTACATACACTAAGTGTGATCTACCAAATAAAAGTAAACATTACAGTAACACCATGTTTGGTTAACATTGCTTATTAAATGCACCTTACGTACGTTACATCTAGTTATCTTTAAATTATTATACATGTTCTTTTAAGATTCCTTAAAAAAATATATTTAAAAAGCAATGCATACAAATATAAATCTCTATATAAACACATTTATTTATATAGGGATCTGCAAATAAAATTTAAGTGGGGAGAAGGGAATAGAAGCACAATCAAATTTGTAAAAGCTGCAGTAAGTAAAAAAAAATAATGATGAAAAACTTAAAAACCTGCTCTACTGCTTGATAAAACTTGGAGGTATTTCTAATAACATTATCCTCTGTTTCTTCCAGCATTTAAATAGGTTTTAATGTTTTCAGTCTGGTTTTCAGTAGTAATAATTTGCCAGGTTTTAATAGTAAGTTTTTTTTTCTTTTTAAAACATTAATTAGTGATCTTTAATGCATGCTTAATTCTGAGTTCATTTTTGACAAAGGTTAAAAAAAAATTTTATACTATATATATCGATTTTTGGATTCTTCATAAACAAAACAAAAAACTGGAAACTGATATGTAAAAAAAACACTTAATTAATAAGTGGTTTAAAAAAGTTGTAGAGAATTGTATGTTGGTGAAAAACAAAAGCAACAAAAATCTACTAAAAAAATCAAGAAAATTTCAGATAAAATAGTCATTTTCTTAAGACTTATTTTTTGGATTTACATTTTTAAAATATACATTATATTTAATTTTAAATTTAGATGATTTGAAATGTTTGCACAAAATCCTTTGAAAAATTTATGAAATATATTAATTGAAAAATGACTTACCAGTTCTCCCCCGGGAAGATTAACCGATGACAGCAAAAGTATTGCATTCAAACGGGCATTGATATCAACAGCCCATCTCTTATTCTGCACTTCCACAATCCTGCCCACAACAACATCACCAACTTCACCTATATACCTAAAAAATTATAAATATTTCAGATTAAAATATTTTATTAGTTTCATCCATTCACAAGACATCATAACATCACTGTCAGATAAAAAAATAATTAATGCATAGCTGCCAACACGGATAGGAAAAAATCCAGTACATTTTATGAAATAATATAAATTTTATGATAATTGTAGCAAAATACAGTAGAGTCCCGATTATCCGAGTTAATGGGGACCGCAACAAACTCGGATAACTGAAAAACTCGGTTAAAGCGAAGAGTATAAAAACGGAAAGAAAAAGAGAAGGTANATATAAATTTTATGATAGTTGTAGCAAAATATACTAAATATTTTACACATAAAGATTTGTATAGTCATCAAAATAAAAAAAATTACACTATTTTCCAGTTATGATTTCACATTGAATGATCTTGGAATGTTATGTATTATGTTTATTCATAATATTGAATAGTAATAGGCGTTAAATTCATCAAAGATAGTTAACTGAATTTCATAAATGAGGCTCACTTAATTATGCATTAGTGACACTTATTTAAATATTCAAGCCAGCAATAATCTGCACAAAAATTCTATTTCAATAGAGATTTCTTAAGGAAACTTATACAATTTTAGGGAATTTTCTAAAATGTACAAAAAGTGGGAGAATTTTTATTAAACCAGTAGTTTACAGGAAAAATCCAGTAGAGTTGGCAGCTATGTTAATGGTTGAACCTTGATCCATCATTCTTGCAACTTTCCTTATCCTGTATGTATTACCTTGTTTTAAAGGTCCAGTCACAAGTTCTGTTATTATAATGCTAATAAAATCAGTTTAAATTTCCTTGAAACTAGCAGATTCAGGCATATATCATTCAGAAATTCAATCAAATTATTTTTTTAATTCAGTCATTTTATTTTGCAAAAATAAATAAATAAATAAAAGTTAGATAAAAAAAAAACAGAAACTCTGGATATTAATGTTGAAGAAAAAAAATAAGGGTTAGTTATAGTTTGGTGAAAACTCACAAAACACCACATGAAAATGTTGAAATTAGTGATTGATTGAAGAAATGAAAATAGTTGCATCAGCTAGTGATACTGATGAAGGTAGTGAAACAGAACCACAACTAGTGCCAGCACCTGCAGATAACCTTGAAACAATAAGGAACTTTCTGTATTTACATAAATTTGGAGAAAACCCATTACAAATGCTGAAAATTATCTGTACTGATTATTTTAAACAAATAAATGAGTTGAGAAATACAATGTTAATTGTTGAATTAGCATTATATCTAGGTTTCACACCAGCAATGAAAATTTAGTAGTCCATTAGGCCAACTGAGGTATTTATTAAGTGGTCCAAAAACTCATTATGGTAGCTTAACTTTAGAAAAAATGAACTTTACAATTTCATAATTCACAGTACCAGTCAAAAGTTATTAATCGCCATATATTACACTCTAAAATAAATTAGGTTCGTTAGCCCATAAAAATTAAAGATTAGTAAAAGTGCAAAAAAGCTAAAATAATATTTATAAGTAGATTCAACATAGAAATTAGGATGCTGATATATGACTTTAAATAGTTAATTAATTATTTATAATCAATTCAATTAATTCAAATAGTTTAAATAGTCAATTAATGAATTAAGTCAATTGTAAAAGAGCAAAAAATATCATTTTAGTGATGAACCATTGTAATGTCAGTACATGAATCCAAAGCACAGCAAAACATATAAATTTGATATTTCACTATTTAAAATCATTTTTTTTTTCTTTTTTTGTATAGGCACTCTGTTATTCTTTTGAATACCACATGTTTGAAATTCCATACCATGCATTAAACAAAAAAAAATTAGTACAATAATTTTTTTCTAAATGCATGGATTTTGTTGCAAAAATAAAAAAACATTTGTTTGTTGTTATTATTTTGTAAATTCCACACATATTTCAAAGTGACAAATTTGTGGCCTTTCCATGTGATTTTAGTGAAATTTGGCGACAATTGTGGCCATACTGTGTATACCCTAATTATATCTAATGAGTTGTGATATCAGCCTACATTTGGAATAATCCAAAATAAAAAATATATGAAACTGTCAAGCATGCAGAAAATAGTAAACCTTGATATTTGCTTCTTAATTCTAATAAATTAGAAAAAAGACCTAGTGTAACCAAAATAAATAAAAACATTTGTGTTGTATTTTAGCATTATGTTAGGATTTTTTTCCCCCTCATGCTTGATTTTAAGTTGTGTTTATTGGTGTTACGTTACTTATCTGACATTTTTAGCAAATGTAACTTAGCTCAAACATATATGCCAGTGAAATATGCTTGATTAGAATGAAACAAATTGAATAAAGAATTCCATTGGTCAAAATTTATATTGACTAGCGGATGTAATAAATGGATATGATTCTGGTTAAATGTAAAAATGCTGTCTTTAAAAAAGGATGATATTGTTGTTCCAAGTCTCTTTCGTTAAAAAAAAAGTTTTAAAAAAACGAAATTTAGTGGTCTTCTATCCCAAGAAAGAGAAAATGGTTAAATAGCAAATCTGCTTTAAGAAAACTTTAGAAGAGTTGGATGATGAAATAAGCTAAGAATATGTATACTTATGTATAAAATTTCACCTATAGAAATCTGTAAAAACTTAAAGCAAGAAATTTAAAACAATAAATCTTTACCTTGATCTTTGAGGCTTCACAGTGTAAAGCTTATTAATTTTTTCTATGGTACCAGCTACTGTAGCACATATTTTATTCTCTTCATCAATCCATGTTCCATGACCTCTGAAATTCAGCAATAAATAAATATTGATAAGTAATGCATTCTATAAAGTATTCTATTCTATTATAGTAATGCTATTCTATTCTATATTCTTATTATTAATAAATGGAAAAAGTATATTTAATTATTACAGGAAAGCAATAAAGAAAACCACAAAAATGTCTCAAAATAATCTAGATTGCAATTATTTTGAATTTTATTAAAATAAACAAACATTAGAAATTTTTTTTTAAAGATACAAAAATATACCTAAAATAAAATAAAAATTGTGAATGCTTTATAGATTAAAACCAAATGTAGGGAAAGGGAGAAAATATGAAAATCTCCAAGATTTAAAATAAAGTTAAAAATAAACAGTGATATTGAGCAGGTGATCTTTTTTCTATTGTTTAATAGCTGATTCATCAGTAAAATATTACCAATTTATTAAATGCATATTTATAACTATTTCCTCGAATGATAGAAAAATACAGTTAGTAAAAAGGCAAGTTAAGCTAAGTTTTTAATAAACTCACAGAATAGTTTACTCTCTACATTGATAATATAAAGATAAATTATTTTTTACCTTTAAAATATTTTTTTAAAGAAAAAAAAACTTTCCATACATGATTAAAATAAATCTCCTGTTTTGCAATGGATCACAGGCGTCATAATTTCTTTTGGCAGCCTGTATCATATAATCAGGTACTGACAAAAGCTATAAAAGTTTGGAAGTGAAAGAAGATACTAAGGAGCTGACAGTCTACAGTGCGGCTCTCTGGAGAACTCCTCCAGACACCCGTCTTGCGTTGTGGCGCGTACTATGGTTACGAGGAAAGGTCACTTCGAATAGGGGTGTGGGGTAAATAGTTTTGTATCTTAGGGTAGGTCGTTGAGAGTAAACTAATTGATACCTTCTTTCCTACATTTCACACCCATTAAAAATGTGCTCTCGCTTGTTACCATAGCAGCAGACAGCCCCAGACTTTCAGTCTGGAGGAGTTCTCTTCAAAGCTGCACTATAGAATTATTGTGACTTTATCATATTTACTGCAAAAAAAAAAAAAAAACTAGTTTCTCTTAGAGATACTGGACCATTTTTTAGCGATGTGGTTATATGAGTCTTCTTCACTAAAAGAGTTGAATTTTAAATTAAGTAATGAAGTTGAGTAGAATATTTGGTAGTAAAAATTTAGAAGACTATTAGGTAGTAGATATTTTTCTTTCCTTTTTGATTTGTTCTTTTGGCACTTTGAAGATCACAGTTTACGCACGCAATACGAAAATATTCTCGAGTCATTACAGATTTTAAATAATTCATTCTAAATTTAAGAGTACCTAAGTTTAACTTAGGGGTCCCTTTAACTTATTCACATAGCTGGCAATAACAAATTAAAGCAGTATATACAAAATATGATTAATTTATTATTCAGATAAAACTATTTTTTACTAGCTACCACTTAAAAAAAGGTTATCCTTAAATCCAAACCTCATAAATCCTTCATCAGAAGAAATAACTGTGCCTGGAGTCACAATTAAATTATTTTCCAGCACAGGGGATTTGTCCTCTTCATCTTCGTCCCTATAACGTCGTATATCAAACATTTTGTTTCTAACTTCAGAAGATTCTCATAAATTAGATACAGAAAAAATTTAATTAGTTTTATTTAAAAAAAATATTATCAAACCCAACACAAATTATTCGCGAAAAAGAAATAAACAAACTGAAGTTGCCAGGTTTGAATTTCTTTTATTCAACAGTTAAATGTTTCCGCTGCAAGGGGAAAAAAGCTGAGGATTAAATAGGTTCAACATCCAAGCTATAAGTAAATCCTACTTTAATAAATGCTGCGGAATTGCTCCCTGACATCAACAAAATATTAAAAACTGGTAGAACTGTTCCCTGGATGTTGAAGCTCCAGTCTCTAGTTGATACTGTAGTATCCATGAACTGTTCTCTGTAGTATTGTAAGAAAAAAAATTGTGTCAGATTAATTCGCCAGTTTTGTAAGCGGTAATTAGTCTAATTAGAAATTATAGCATGATGCGTACGGCAAAAGTCATTGTGTTTGATCTTGGTAAAGTACTATTTTATTGCTTTATCAAATTTGAAAAGAACAAATATTGTTTATTTTACTATTAAAATAGATAATAAAGTGTCGCAATAGTATTTAAAGTCTTGTATTAATTTTTATGAAACAATCTAGTTGCAACATATATTCGTTTGTGAGTCTAAAGTTAAGTTACATTTAATTAATTTCGTTTTCTTATACAGTACGTCACAAATAAGAGGAAGTTTATTTTCTTGAAGTACATTCGCAGAGTTTATGCTACGGTTTTTGCAATTAATTAAAACCAACAGTGTTTTGTAATTATCATCTTGTGGCTATTTAATGTTTTAGAAATGCAGGTTTCATATTGAAACTAGTGATGTAACGAATAGTGATGGGGACGAATACCAAATATTCGGCCAAATTTTAGGCCGAATACTTACTTTTTAAACTTACATTGTAATTAAAGTAATTTTAAATTAAAAATGAAATAAATATTAACGAAATTGCTTTTTTAATCTTTGTATTAAAACTATTTTAACAACTTGATTTATTTTTTGTAATAATTTAAATATCTTGATACCAATAACAAGGCAATATGGCTTTTATAAATCTAAATAATTAATAATAGCATATTATAGTTATAGTTATACTTGTAATTTATATGCTATTTTATTTAAGATAAGAACTCATTACTTACTACTGTTAAATGTATTCTTAACTTTCTTTTTTGTCAAAAAAATTATTAAAACTCAGAAAATTACTTTTTAAAAAGTTTCACTTTTTAAAATAATTTTGTAATTAAAAAATTTTCAAATTTTAAATTAAAAATGAAATAAATATTAACAAATTTTCTTTTTTAAACTTTCTATATTTAAAAAAAAATTAACAACTTGATGTATTTTTTGTAATATTTTAAATATCTTGATGCCAACAATGAGGCTTTCACAAATCTAAATAATAATAGCATATACTTCATTATTCGGCCGAATAACTTCAGTATTCGGCTAGGCCGAATACCGAATAGTGGCCGAATATTCGTTACATCCCTAATTGAAACTTAAGTGTAGCTGTTTAGCACTACAAGGAAAGTTTTTCCATTTGATTCTTGCGCCCGAAAAGTCGTTATAATTCGTTGACAACCAGGTCAGCACCTCGCAAAGGGCTTTAAAATTAAATTCCAGTATGAAACCAACTTGAAGAATAAGACTTATTTTGACTCCCAGGCAAACTATAAATTTAAAAAAAAAAATTTTTTTTTGCTAGTTTAAAAACTTTTTGGCACTTTTATGAAGTTTTTCCTCTTTACAATTTAGAGTAAGTAATGCATACTTCTATTGAATGTTTCATTTCTTAATTTTAACTAACATTTGCTGACTTGGAAATAGTTTTATTTCTTTAAAAAATCACAAGTCTTATTGTTGTCTGGTACAAAAAAAAAGCATCACAATCATCAATTGAACAATACTGTCAAAGCTATGAGTTGAACATTTGTAGTCACAAACTCAAAATTTGGTCGGCTGTTCAGTAGTATTTATGTACAAAATATTCTTTTAATCAACTGAGTGACATAACATATCAAATTAACTTCATGTATATAATTAGTATTATCAGGAAATTCAGTTTAGCACCAAATGAAGTCGTTCATACTTTCATATACCTTCTCTGAAACATTTAACCAAGCTTTTATGCTAGTTATTTTTAAAGAATAATTCCAAGCTCTTGAAATCTGCTCTTACAAGTAATACAAAGAGTCCCAATGCCAAATTTCCTGTTGATTCTATGGAATTAGCATGTCATAATTTCTAGCCTTAATGTCGCTTCTTGAGACCACCATGACAGGATGAAAAGAAGGTATAAAACTAACACTTCAAAAAAGAAATTTCTCTCCGACCCTTCAACTCACATTGACCACTTAAGTTCACCACATTTAGGTATGGGCTAGGAATGGACGGTGAAATATAGAGCTTAATACGGAGAGTATTTGATTGTGTCTCTACGAAAGATAATCCCCAGATTGTTGCCTATCCAAGTTAAATTTTTGTTAGCTGCTTTTCAATGTAAGCACAATCAGAAGCATACTGTTGCTGATGCGTCAACTATCGTTGCAATGGTCCTTCAAAATTTTCTGATTGAGCCGAAATGTCCTGGGGTTTTAATGATTATATTAGTGTAGGGGTGCTCAACCTGCGTCCCGCGGGCCAAATGCGGCCCGCCAACCCTCGATGTGCGGCCCGCGGCCGCAATCTGAACAAAATGAAAAAAAAATAAAATAAATATTTGTTTTTGAAAAATAATAAAAAAAATTCGGTAATTTAAATTTACACTTTTAAGTTTTTGACGCACCCAATCTCAATCAATGTAGTTTTTCGATGGTTAACGCTACGGATTTCAGCATAGTTTTAAAAATCCCAATATTTTTAATACATCATTATTACGATTTACGAATTTTAATTACCACTTTTGACGCTTTTCGTATGTGCCGATNATGCCTTTAACAAAAGACAAGTAAAACTGCTTATTATGATAGTTTATTAATTTATGTCATTGTGATACCATTATGGGCATTAAAATATATTTCCTAGCTTTTAAAATATTTTTAATTTATAGGTTTAATTTTTTTAATCATTCTTTATCCAATTTTAATTGAATCTAATTATTATTTAACTTTCATCAACATCTTAAAAAAATGAAAAGTAATATTTTATTCTTTCCTTAACAATCAATGTAACGGTTAATTTTTTATTTCAATATGAATTTATAACTCATTAATTTACTGTTGCTGCAAAATTAAATATCAAAATCTATTTTTAACTCTTTATTCCTTAAGCTACTTTATTTCTCTCCCAACCAAAATGTTTCAGTTACTGTGTTATATTAATTCTCACAGTCTTTTTGGTGACTAAGATGTAACCAGATTATTTTAAATTTAATATTAATTACTCGGTGTTGAATTTGTTTTTAGCCATTTTATATATTGATAAATCACCAACTATGAAACAAAAGTAACAACTTATAAAAAAAAATATATATTATTATTTCAGAAACATTACAGATTCAAATTTAAGCTTGAATATATTTAATTTTATTGTGGAGCCTTACAATTGATTAAATATTTTAGAATAACCCTTTAGTCTATTGTATTAATTGTAAATATTCAGTTACAATTATGTGAAATTTTTTATCATACTATTAATGTTAATTTTTCTCATTTTAATTTTATTTTAACAGGCATAATCAAATTGTTGATGGTTCTGGTCAAAAGGTTAAGTGTTATCCAGATGTCCCTGAAGTATTAAAAAAGTTAAAAAATGATGGTTATTTACTTGGAATTGCTTCAAGGTATGAGGTTACCTAAGATCTCAAATTGTCAATTTAAATTAATGTCAAGTTATGAAAATATAATTCTGTTTCAATAACCATTAATACAGGGTTATAAAAGTGTTTTGTTGCAGCAATGACAATAGCTAATGCATGTTTTAAAGTAAAAAATTAGTTAAGTATTTTGTAATATTTTGTTCTAGACTTCTTTTAAAGCAAAATAAATGAATAAAACAGTAAAAAATTATGGTATTTTGAAATAAGTATCTCAAGTTTGTTTTTTATTTTAATGTTTTCTTGTTATTGAATAATTATTAAACCTTTGTATGCATTTTTGATGAAATAAAGAATTTTAATTTTGGGTGAGGATTTTAAAGTTAAAATAAATATTGTGTTTGAAATTTTGAAGGTAGTTTTGAAAGTAAATTCATTATATGTAAATTAATTGTACAATGTTTTGGCTTAGCTAAGAACTGTTTTTAATTTTCAAGACTGAACATTAACAGAATTTATAACATTTTTTTTTATTTTATTGATCTTATAAAATTCTTATTTTTAATAAATAATTACTCTGAGATTTAAATTTTTCTTAACTTATTTTTTTTTATATTTTTATATTCCATATTTAATATTATATATTTTCAGCCATTTTTTGAAAAAGGAAAAAATTATAATTTATTAAAGTTTTATTTCTGAGAGAATTATTAATTAATTTAATTAATTCCTAATTAATTGTATTTATATTTAGAACAGAATGGCCAGCAGGGGCAAGAGAGTTGCTTAAGTTATTTGACTGGAACAAGTTTTTTACCTTTCAAGAAATTTACCCTGGAAAAAAGACTACTCATTTTCAAAAGTAAGTTTAATAATTTTTTGTTGTATTGTGTTTATATTTGCAATAAATATATGTTAAGAAAAAGCATTTTTTTTTTTTTTTTTGAATTTTGTGTAAATTTGATTTAAATCTGAAAAAAAAAAAGCTCAACCTAGAAAATTAAGCTTTTAGTGTCCTAAAATCTACATTTACATGTAACTGCAGCATCTCTTTGTTTAAGTTGATTTTAAATCCCTTACTTCTAAGAATCACAGCTGTGAGGAGTTAAAATGTTTGACTCTGTCTCTAAACTTTTCGAAAACCCAGCTCTAATTTGTACTCTGTTAAACTTTTAACCAAATCCTTAGAGAGTATAAATGTTATTACTAATGTTAAATTCTAATATAATTTCATATTTCCAATTTTTTTATGTTTGATTAGAATTAAATATATTTTATGTATTTAAAATGAAATTTTATATTCCCACATAACATTTGAAAAAATAAATTTTAATTTATTTGTTAAAAATATTGAAATTGTTCAAAACTATTAACTGGATACCTGAAATCAAGAGCCAAATAACAATTTATTATCTTTTTATTCCACAAAGATTCTACAGTGAATATTCATAAACGGATAATTACTTAACTACTCAAACTCATTGGTGCAAGTCTTCCGCCCCCAGGACGGATTTCCGTCTTTCGAAAATGTCCGCGGACGGAAGTAAGACGGGAACGAGACTGACTCGAAGACGAAAATCGGATTTTTTTTCTGTCCTTAAAAATATTTTTTAGGTCGACGTTATTGATTTACTTTCTTATGTCCTGTTGTTATTTTATCAAAAGACAGATGAATAAATATTTTTTGTACAGTATTTAAACTTGATGTATTATGGTAAAGCTTTCTTAGATAGTTTGCAATTTGCATATGTTGAGGGGGTATCATACCCGCCAACTCTTCCGGATTTGCCGGAAGATTTTGTTTTCATATTTAAAGTGGTAGTAAATCTATACTATTTTTTCTCTTATAAAGTTAATTTTTTAATGATTTTGATCACCACTATTCTTACAAAAATTAAGCACATATATTAATATGCGTTACTATCATGGTTGTCAACTTAAGTTTGCTTATATACAACATATTTGTTGCTTAAAATTGAAGTTTTAATTCCAATTTAATACCACTGGGAAAAATGATAATGGAAGGGATTAAAAGTTGGCAGATATGGGGTATTGTGTATGTTAGGTATTTCAGTCAAAAAATTTTCAGTCTTGACCTTTTTTCCAACTTGCACCCATGCTCAAACTACTTCAAAACGGATAAACTACTTCAAATAGTGCATTGAATTTTTATGCATTATCTTTTTAATTTACTCTGCTAAATGAATTTGATATTGAAATTTGTGAATCCAGATGTAATTTATTAATAAAGTATATTGTTGAATAATTTGTAATTGTACATAAAATTGTTTGTAAAGAAACGCATGCATATTTTTCTTAGTTTTATACAGAGTCTTTAAAATCTTTTTAACTAATACACCCAATCAGTAGGATATATTCATATGGAAGCTTTAATCTCCCATAAAGTTACTAAGTGTTAGAAATATCTAGTGAACTCAATAGACTCATGGAGAAAGTCATTTAAATATAAATTAAATTATTCTTTCTGATTAAATTCTTCTTAGTTATTCTTATTCTTATCAATAGAATATTATTTATTTGTTGAAATCTTTGTTTAATAAGATTAAATATAAGTAAATGATTCTTTCTGATTAAATTCTTCTTAGTCATTACTCTCTTATCAAAAGAATTTGTATTTGTTAACAAGATTAAGTATAAGTTAAATTCTTTTTAATTAAATTCCTTTTAGTTATTACTATTTTTATCAATAGAATTTGTATTTGTTTATTGACATCTCTTTTAGCAAGATCATAAACAATATTAATGTAAACTATTTTATACTTATGGGACAATTCAAATATTGTAATTTATGTTTAAGGTTAGGGTTGCCACAGCTATTGTTAATAAATTTGATATTTTAAAAATAATCTTCTAAATTGTTTTTCAAGCTCATTTTTGTTTTGAGTTTTTTTGCATTCCTTTGCCTGGCACTAAAGAAATGTGGAATTTCTTCATTGCTAGTAATATGAAAAAGGGGAAATATGAAAACAAGGGAATAAAACAAGTGTATCTAATAATTATGTGGAGGAGGTGGAACTACATATAGTAATGTTATAATTTCTTTTTACTGCTAAAGATAAAACACTTTGAACATTTTATGATATAAATTATTATTATTTACCCAAGAGTTGAAACATATAATTTATTACATTATTGTCATTAAACATCTACTATTATAAGTTAAACGTATAATTATTTTATTAGATATAACAGTATATTTTTAGGTAACTTTATAATTTGTTACAATGAGGAATGTCATTCTGTTATAGTTTAATTATATTTTATTAAACTTTTATGCGCATAGAAACATGTAAAGGTTAATTTCTACTAAAAAATAGAATTTCCAGGGACTAATCATCCAGGTAAGATGTTAAAGCATTTAGTTATGGTTGGGTAACAATGACTTTTTGTTGTGTAAAAGTTTTATTCAATCTTTATTTTTCATTTTTAGTTTATTTAAAAGGTTAGACAACTTCTTGTTTTTTGAGTGCTCCTGAATATTAAATTGATGCACCCCTAGTTTTATGAACAAGCACAAATAGTATTTAAGTATTTAAATTTGAAATTATATGCCACAGTGTGCATTTAGAAGACTAAGCATATTTCAAACCAAGTTAGCCAATCTCATAATTTGGGAAAATCTTTCTCAAGTTAACTTCAAATTTAAACTGTATTTAAGCCTTGGACATACAATTATTTCATTTCTTTTTCAAAAGCAATGATGTGGATGTTTGTTATGGAAATTTTGAATTTTTTTTTAAAATGTGCCTTTCTTGCTAAAAGTTGTTTATCAAAAAACTCCTATTTACTTCTGTAACTATTCATGTATGTAATAAAAAAAATTATTTTGTTTTTCACTCTAACTAAAATTGCAAAGTACACTCTTCAAAAAAGAACTGCTTCGTAAAACATTTGTACAGCTGTCATTTCGTTGTGCATAATTTGGTTAATTTTTACTGTTCACTAGTTATACAACACACAACTTTTTAAAAATTTTGTTTTATCCCTTTGTTCTGCTGAAAAGAATTCAAAACTGCTTCTTGCTTAGCTTCTGGAATAACCTGACTCCTTAAAACGCGTGAATATTTATCTCTGCCAGTTTATTTTTGTGTTTACATTTCTAAGTTTTACTTTTAATTACTGGCTATCTTTATTTTGTGAGTTTTTATAGGTTAAAAAATACTTTTTGAATGTTTAATAACTTAATTGATTTTTCACAGGATTAAAAAAGATTCAGGAGTCGATTATTCAGAAATGTTATTCTTTGATGATGAAGATCGAAATATACATGATTTAAACGCTATTGGTTTGTATTTTTTCATGAAATATTTTGTAAATTGTGGTGTTGCATATCTAACTTGTTTCAATACTATCATATTTTTCATTGTCAAAAAATTAAGAGAAAAAAATGAGAGATTGGGAATAAATCACTTTATAATATCACTCTATTCAATTATATATAAAATTCAACACCATATATATATCACACTCTTTAAGATGTAGACAAACTTTATATTGTTCAATTATGTAACAATAGTCAATATTATAATATTTTTTTATTGTCTTCTACTAAAGACTGGTGAAAAAACCCAATTTATTTGCTACCATAATATTTTCAATGCCCTAGAAGACTGGATTAAATCGCAATAAAATAATTGGAGTCCACTGTATAATTTTATTATTACAGTAGGGAACTGATTATCCGGAACGGTCGGGACCATCGCTATTCCGGATAACTGATTTTTCCGGTTTTCTGAATCTGCCGTTTTTTTATTGTTAAACCCAACTAAAAAAAGAAAATTTTTTAAATAATCTTAAAAATAAGAAAAAACGATGAAGTAATACGCTAATGATTATTTCCAAAATGATGGTAAGGTAAACATCTTTAAAAAAAGAAAGAAAAATCGTAAAATCTTATGAGGAAATTTTTTTGTTTTGAAAATGGCGAGAAAATTTATCGAATTCCGTTCCGGTTTTTTGGTTTTCCGGTTTTCTGATTTCCGGATAACGGGTTCTGTACTGTACTTAGATTCAGAAATTATTCATCATTCTTTTTTCATTTTGGAAAAAAAGAATAATGAAATATGCTATTTTTTAGTGCTATTTTATTTTAGCTGTTTTATTTAGTGATTTATTTTGCAATCATAGGAAAGGGTTATTTAATTTTGTTCAATACTCTATCGCTCTTCATTATACAAACAAACATGAGCAAATAATAAAAGTTAAAAAATTTTAATCTTTCATGAGATCTATTTAAAAAGTAATAATGTTAAACTCTTTCCAGCTTTTAACTAAATCTTGTAATTATGGGGTGGTATTTTAGAGCTTTTATTGTATAAAAATCCTATATAATAATGTTCATTTTCTTTCTGATGACCAGGGATATCATATTTGTTGTCATCCCCTGGGAAGATCTTCTAATAAAACCAGGCATGTAAATCTTAAATTTCATTTTGTGCGAGATATGATTGAAGATAAAATATTGAAAACTATTTATAAGAATACTAATGATAATATTTCTGATTTTTTAACTAAAGCTGTAACTTTTGAGAAGTTAATTTTTTCATTGGAAAAAATAAGTTTAATTTGAAATTTATATTAAGAGAATTAATTTTTTTTATGTGTATATTGTTATTTGTGTTAAAAAGTAAAATCCTTCTCGCAGGGGGAGATTGTTGTCATTCCCTGGGAAGGATAGCTACGAAGTATTTTTCTTTTTATGCCACCAGATGGCGTTCTTTTTAACTTTGTATGTGTTTGTTTGCTTTTTGTTAATAAACTTTACTTTCTGTCTGAATTTTGATCCACGGACTACAATGTTGAGTTAATAGTTCAAAGATTTTTTTTCATTATAACTTATTTACTTCTCCTGTGTACACTTCAAAAAGAAAGGATCTATTGATAAATAGCCATTGTGCGACAAAATATTTTGTATTGCTTTTGATAAATTAATTTTTATAGAATTTTCTTTCATTCCATTATTTGCTAATAAAATTCTAAAAAGAAAACTTTTTTTTGCTGTTAAGGGGTTGCATAACCGCTTAACCATAACTGGAAAAATATTTCTCTGACTTTAAATTTCTAATTATAGCTAGAATTCTATATTTCTATCTTATATTTGTTTTTTTATATCATTATTGTAAAACACCTCATATTTCTCTTTATTCTCAGGTGTAAAAAGTATATTGGTGACAGATGGTGTTACTCAGAAATTAGTTGATGATGCCTTAAAAAATTTTGAAAATTCTTAGCAATGCTTTTTTTTTTACTAAAATATTGATTGTTATTATGTTATTACAGTTGCATTTTATGTGTAAAATTTCATAATTATTTATTTGTACATAAATAGAGTGGATATTAGTATATTAAAGCTAGTTTTTCATATATTATTGTGAAAGCTTTCCTTCATTTCTTGCTTTCGAAGTCATGTTTTTTAGTATTTAAGGGGCAAGTTTTTTTAGTGGAGAAATGCTTTAAAATTTATGTAAATTTTTTTTTTCAGAATCAGTCTAATTTTTATTTGCCCAACATACACTCGTGACAAAGTGATCTTTTATTGTGTCTACTTTTTCTTGGACAACAAGGGCAGTTAGATTGAGCATCGACTGTTATATATTTTCTAAAAATTCCGTAATTACAGTAGAGTCCCGATAATCCGAGCTCCGGTTATCCGAGTTTCCACTTTAACCGAGCTATGAAATATTTTAAGTTTTTTTTTGTTCTAGTTTATTTTTAAAAATACCGCTGAAAAATAAATCTGAATTTTATCTTCCAAACACTCGGAAAAACAAAATCCAACAACTTGATCCCATGAAATGATCATTAATATCGTCAATAATGAAAATGAACCTAGCGAAGATGATGAAGACAGTGACGATGAAAATCAACATATAAAAATCTCTCACACAGATGAACTTAAAGCTGTCAAAAATGCTACTGAATACATAGAACAACAAAAAGAGGCGACACCAGCCTTCCTGTTATCCTTAAAAAATGGCGAAACATTGCTACAGAAAAGCACCAAAGTTATGTAAAACAAAAAACGATTAAGGACTTTTTTTAAATAAAAACTCTTTAATTCTCGCAAAGTATACTTTTTAAGTTTTTTCAAGTAAGCTTTCTAACAATAATAGGAATTGTATGTGGTATATTCGTATAAATTTTATATTTCTTAAATATATTACATGTATACCAGCTCTTTTTCTATCTTTTTTTTATACTCTTCGTTTTAACCAAGTTTTTCAGTTATCCGAGTTAGTCGTGGTTCACATCAACTCTGATAATCGGGACTCTACTGTAACTCTTTTTATCTCCTGTAATTAAGCATTTTATAGAATAAAAATAAAATAACCATAGTTAACTTTTTTATAAATAATACTACATGATGATTAATTCTAGTAGATAGTAACAATTCTTATAAACTATACTACTACTAATAACAGATAACCATCATATTACCAAGTTACCATATAACTAGCAGTTAATTTTTTTACCATGAAAAGGTGCTGTATACTTAGTAGCATAATGTGTACCCTATTATTGGCTGTTTTCTAAAGAAAAAATTGTTTTAAAAGTAGTAATGATGCTTTAATTCTTTATGTTTGCACAAACACAATGTACTGAAATTCCATATTAATTTTTTTTTTCTTTTCAGATAAGGTATCTTTTTATTTAAATATTCATATTCTAAGTTTGGGCAAATAAGGCATGATTGTCTGCTCATACAAAACATGCACTATGTAGACCAAAATTACCATATACTTTTATTTTATTATTTCCTTCCTTTTTTAATATGAAATTTCATATATTCTGGACAAATTGTGTATATGTGTTTTTCTAAATGGTAGCATTATAATTATTAGAATATTGTTTTTATATATGTTTGAGAATTAAAGAGTTACTTGCTTAAGAAATTAAGGTAAAAATATTTGCATATCAAATCCTAGTTTTCAGTTGCTTCAAATTGTATAAAATCACTTCTTGCCAACTAAATTATTTTCACAGTATAAAACACTAATTAGGGCTCATACATTAAGCCAAAAAATATATATCACCCTGAATAACTTTTGTTTTAGTGGTTGGATAATTTTGTTTTGATGGTTGGAATAATTGAGGTACTTTATGCTGATTAAATAGTGGTAACCTCAGTAGCAGTATTTTCTGAGCCAATTTGCAGCATCATCTTTGTAAATCAAAATTTGTCTACAACCAAACACAATCATGTGGAGACTAATAATGTAAAAATAAGGCTTACCTAATAAATATAGCAAAATTTTGTATTTGTAAATAGTAGATATAAATGAAAAAGAAATGTGTGTTTAAATTCAATTTGAAACATGCATAATAATGCTTAAATGAAACAGTAACATGATTAAATAAAACAGTAGTTAAATAATCTAAATAACAGAAGAGAAAATAATGGCTATCAAGCTCAAGATTCATGCAAGAAATGTGAATAAGATACATAATTTCAGATAAAATTTAACAAACTATAATTGGAAAAGTTTGGCTAAATAAATAGGCATAACCATTACCAAAAATCATATCAAACAAAACTCAAAGCCAATTTACATCATTATCTTCATAAATTAAAATTTGTCTGCAACCAAACGTAATCATGTGGAGACAAATAATGTGAGAATAAGGCTTACTCGGAATTATAGCAAAATTTTATATGTGCAAATAGTAGACATAAATTAAATATGTACAAGAAATTTATGCTTAAATTTGATTTGAAACATATACTATAATGCTCAAAAGAAAAGATTACACAAAACCGAAGTTAAATCATCTGAATAATAGCATTCAAGTTCGAGATACATGTAATAAAATCTGTAAATATCTTGTCTTGCAAACTATATAATTTTAAAATTTTTGCTTACCTAAACTTAATAAACTTAACCACAAACCTTGTAGTGAAATTTATACTTTTAAACATAGGATAGATAAAAAAAATCTACACAAAAATTTATGTATATTTTTTTAAAAATTAATTTGAAAATTGGATAATAATACATATAAAAAAAAATTCAACTTAAACTTCTAAATATCAAATTAAATAAATCTTAACATAAAATCATACCAGATTATCTCTGATACAGAACTAGAAGAGCTGTAGCATTTCAAAATTCAGGCAAATAAATTTACTTTTTTAAAAAAAAAAATTTTTTTTTGCTACCTTTTTTTTTAAATTTTAAATATATTTTTATCCCTTATGAATATATTTAGTCCGAAATTTTATTTATCTAAAAAAACTTTGTCTTTCTGGCAGTTTATTATTATTATTTTGAAACTGAGATAAAAAATAATCTGCTGTAATAATAATAATTTCTGTTACAGAGGTGCCAACCATTTATAAAATAACAAAATCTAACAAAGACAACTTCTCTGACTAAACATACCTTTTTTTCCCACTTGACCATCAAAACATGTGCGTAATTGTAATCCATAGAATATGGGCTTAATAGTTTTAACAGGAGTGTGGTTAGCAGTTTGGTTCCTGCAATGTTTTAATTTTTTGAGTATTTTACCACATTTAGGAAACTTAAGGGAATCAAAATTTTCAATTTTATCCTCCTTCATAATTATGGAACTTGTATTTTTGGATAAATCTTTGAATACTGAAATTTTAAAAATTATTTGTTATTTAATTCAATTATGGTTAAAAAAAAGTGTTGAATTTTAAGATATGCAAAATTTTACACCATTTTTCATTTTTAAATATATAGCTCATATTATCATATTATATCATATTAAAATATATAATTAAATAACAGAATATAAAATTGTTAGTCGAATAGTTTCTCATTTATATAGTTTAATTTTTTATAGGTTATGAGATATTTTTTTTTTCTGATTATTGAGAGATTTTTATTTCTTGAAAAAGAGAAACTACATACTGCTCTCTCACGTAAATATTGGAACTGTATTTCCTAGATTGCAGCTACTTCTCAATATTTTGATGGTTAGGAATCTAAATCTGGCTAAAAAAAACTTGGTTCATTCTAAGAAAATGCAATTTTGTCAGCTAGTTTATAAACTAATTTACTAGTTGATGTTAATTAATTAGCATGTTGAAGTCTGCCTTTTGGGCTATTAAAACTTGTTTTAATGTTAATGTTTAATTTGTTAATAATGTGATGTTTTAATTTGAATGTTAGAACAGGTGTGATATTTTTTCCTGGCTGTGTACTTTTACTTTTAGTTACATGTTGTCATACATTATGCAACACAAAAAAAACACGTAAATTCTTTCAAAAATTGTGTAACTGAAAATATCTGATCAATTAGGTATTTTTTATGCTTCGTATTGAGTCTATGAGCTCCTCCTCTATTTCCCTCTAAATGAAAAAAAAAAAGAATTAACAAGTAATTATGCTATCTCTTTTTAAACAGTGTCTATTTTCCACTTTCAATTCCTAAAATTGAAGGTATTTTCTAATTTAAAACATATTTCACACAATTTTTGCTGAACCCACAATTAAATATTTCAGTTGAATTAGAATAGCTATTAAGGAAAAAAAAGTCAACAGCTTCTACATCAAAAAAGAATTTTCTACATATACCATGATTATAATTGTAATCGTGGAATTCTATTTTTTTTTTTTTTTAATTTGATTGAAAATGGTTTAAAAATTGTCCAATTTTGAGTATTAATCAGGCATATTTCCAACTTTCTAAACTTAAAAAGAAATTAAATTTCTAAATTTTATTATTATTTTATTCTAGATTTTTTTATCTACATAAAGCTTCACAGTTTGTTGGACTATCAATGTAGGCATATAGTAAAAAAAATTAAATAAGTATGTAAGTATTTTAAATATTCTTTTGGTGGAAAATTGTTTCACATACTTTATTTATTTTTTCATGATTTGAGTTGATAGATAGTTTTAAGACTTTTTGTTCTTTTTACAATCTCATGCTTGATTATGCACTAATATATTATTCAGATATTACTTTTTACAGTCTTTGGATTTTAAAAGTCAGGCGTTAATACATTAAACAGAGTGCGTGCATTTGTTTTAAGCTCAAACGAAATTAAATTTGCTCAACACATTATTTACATAGGAAAATAATATGTTATGACACTAAGTTTTTTAAAAAGTCATAGCTTAGAAATCAACCTAGTAAAAAAATCAGCCCGAGTGTCAGGTTCTGCAGTAGACTGATCGTAAAGAAGCAGTTCATAGTAGAACACAGAAGTTACGTCTTCTCATTGGTTGCTGTCCACTTTGATTATTCTGCTTAGGGACCTACAGTGCTCGGTATCGGTTCTCGTTAAACTGTTCAGCTGTAAAATGCTTAATTGCGCGCAGGTCGTCAGGCTAACAAATAGGAGGGAACCATTCCCTCTGCAGAAAATTAAAATTGTATGTCTTCTGATCAA